AAAGGTAACATGCAATCAATACTTATATAAAGAGTCATCATATTTACTAAAATTAGTAGCAAAAAATAAATCAGCATTTAATGCAACTCATAAGTAGTAGTTTTACTATTATTTTGTATTTTTTTTTTAAATCATACAATTTAATCTATAAATATGCTTTAATATAATCATACAATTTAATTTATAAAAATCGTATAATTTAATTTTTCTTTAAAAATACGCTTAATATATATATATATATATATATATATATATGGTATTTTGTAATAATTTTTTGTATATAATATGTTAATTAAATATCTAAACAATTTAAAAATTCAAATGTTTAAATTAATTGATAAACAATTTATAATTCTCTATTTTATTTAAATATGTAATTTTATTTAAAATAATTTAAAATATAGCAAAATTTATTTAAAAAAACCGTATCGATCCTACCCGTTCAACCGACTGGTGTTGACAGATTCAACAACAAATATTTTATTCAAGTGAACTAGACTGATTACAAACTGGTTCTCGGTCCATCCGGTCGGACAATGTCCAACACAGTTTAATTTAAATACGATGGGTAAATCTTGAGTAATTTATTTGTATATTTAATTTATAGCACGATCATAATATTATTTTCTCGTGCATCACACGACCCACACATTAGTTATGCCAGAAATTCTATGGAGAAATTCTGATGGCTAACTATAATTAAAATTGATGGCTTTATGTGCTTGGGAAGGGAGCGAGGCTGGCAAAAACATATGGGAACGTGCATCAGCCTAAACTCTTTAATTACTCCTAACTTGACTAATTGCAGGTTGTCTTAAATTATTTAAATTAAAATTAACTGATTTATACTAATTTAATGTTCCTTCCTTGCTCCAAGGGCCATGAAAGGTGTTGGGTCTCAAAGGAGCAAGCTTCTGCGAAGATGTAATCATAGAAAGATGAAGTATTATGGACCTTTAATCTTTGGGATAATGATCATTAATGAATCTATATACACTAATTACAATGGATTATGCACTTTTGTGCTCCTAGTGATTGAAAAAAAAAATGTAATATTTGACACATTTGTATGTGAATAAGTACTAGGACTGAGCATAAGACTCGGAAAATTCTGAACCATTTCGAATGTCGGACCAAAATTACTCTGAACTAAGAAATAAACCGTTGATTGTTTGACTTTCTTCGAATCGAAAAAATAATTGGTACAGTTCTGAAAATTTCACAAATATTCGTACTGAGAACTTAACCGAATAATTAAATTTATAACAATGGATGTGTGTTATTAATATATTTTATGTCAACTTTGATACTATATAATTTGAGATAGTTTAAAATGTAAATAAAATATAGTAATAACAATTAAGTTACACTTAAATTTCATTCTTAGTAATACTTAATCTATAATTGATTTTATTTAAAATAAAAATATTTAAATGAAATGAAAGATTAATGAAATATTTTTTAAAAAATAATATTTAAACCAGTGTTTTAAATACCATACCGGTGGCCATATCGGTCTAGCCACCGGTACGCGGTATTACCGGTCGGACCGGTAATATCGGCGGTATTACCGGATTAGCAAATGTAATGCTATATATAAATATACATAAAAATATATAATGCCAAATGCAAAAAAGTAAAAATATAAATGACTATAATCACTAATTTCAACTTCTCAATAAGATGAAAATAAAATATTTTAACTACCAATTAAAAATTTATTGTTTTAAATTAAATTTTTTTTTTTATTTTTTTATTGGCAGGTATTTTAGACCGGTATTTTTTGATTTTTACGGTATGATCCCGTACAAACCGGTATAACCGTAAATCCGATATTTTGAGTGTAATTGTACCGTACCAATGGCCGGTATCCGGTATTACCGACAGGTACGGTACGGTATTTAAAACATTGATTTAAACTATAATTAAATTTGTCGATACTTTTCTTAGTCTTATTCTATGTTATAATTAAAAATGTATGAAAAGTTAAAGAAGTATTATTTTAAGAAAATTATATTATATTTTGTTTGAATTTTAAAATTTCAATGTTTGTTATCCAAATGTTGTCTTATTTCAAAATAAAATTTTTAATATGATGAATTATTGAAGATTGTTGTATTTTATTGAAGCATATAAATTTTAAAATATAAATAGATGGTCATTTATTTTTTAAAAAAAAATAATAATTAGAAATCTTCAGAGATCCGAATTGAACTGATCCAAACCGAACCAAACTGTTCCGATAGTCCCAAATAACGAATCGAACCGAACCGAAAATATATAAAAATCCCCCAACCGAACATCTCCCTTTATTGGCACGGTTTCGGAGATCGAATTTTGGTGATCTCCAAATTTGATATGATTCTGGAGATTTATTAATTTTCGAACCGTACCGACTCATGCTCACTATCCTAATGGTTAGACAATCATAATTTTCAACAGATATACAAATCTTACTTGAAGAAATAAAATAAAAATAAAATGTTTTATGGTATACAAATGCCTCTTTCTTAATAAAAATATGTCTATTTAACAATGATTCCTAACACAATGTATGAGCACACATAGTTATATCAACATGAGGTGTATTTAGAGCATATGTAATACTATGCTTTTGATGAATATTAATTCTTGATACATATGACAATCACTGATTGGTAGCATTCACATATCATGAGTGCTAGAAATTAATTTTATACAATTTGACTCAATTTGTGCATCAATTCAATATGATGAGGTTGTTTATCTAATCGAATTAATTAAAATGATTTATTTTATATAAAAGCAACATAATTATTCAACTAATTATAAAACAAATCAAAGAATCTATCATTTTGAACATGATATTAAATATTAAAAAGTTAGGCTCAAATTAATAAAACATTTAAAAAATTAATGGTGTTGATAATAATTTTTTTTTTTTTATAATTTGATTAAATCAAGAAAAGGAATCTATCACTTCAAAATCAAAGGATCAATGCTTACCATAAATAATCTCATACCCAAACGTGACGTCCTGCCTATACCTTCCTGTCCCCAAACATGTAATAACAGGAAATTCACAGGGGTACTTCCGTCATATCACAACCCAACCCCCCCTACCTCAGCTAAAGCAACTCAAACGGCGCCGTAACGGCAACTCCCTTGCCTACGTACAGACGCAAAGAACATCCAAAATTCCAAATAAAATCGTAGCGTAAAATCGCCAAACGATCCAACGTTTCACAAAACTCCCGAGCCGCCCGTTTCAATCGTGGCCGTCCGATTAATCAACTATTTTCATAAATTCAGGCTTTTAGTTTATCCCCATCTTTTAGCTTAAGGCGTGTGTGTGTGTGTGTATGTATCGGTGTATGTATGTATGTACCTTCTTTCTCTCTCCTCACCGCCCCTTTCTCTCCCTCTCTCTCTAAATTTCTCTCTTCCACCTCCGCCGCCGCCGCCGCCGCAGGAAAAATTATTCTGCCGGCGATCATCGTGTGCCGGTTTTTATAGATAAATACTTTTTTGTCCACAAATTTCTTCTCGGAGGGAACAATGCCGGTGCCGCCGTGGCTGGAAAAACTGCTGGGCACAAACTTCTTCAGCGTGTGCCGGACACACGTGGACGCCGCCCGGAGCGAATGCAATATGTACTGTCTCGACTGCAATGCCGGCGCCTTCTGCTTCTACTGCCGCTCGTCCAAACACCGAGATCACCAAGTAATTCAGGTCGATTATGGAAAACTGATTATTTTGTTAGTAAGAAATATATGTGTGTATATATGTTTAATGGTGAGGCGTTTTTGGTTGGACGGACAGATAAGGCGATCTTCGTACCACGATGTGGTGAGGGTTTCGGAGATTCAGAGGGTTTTGGACATAAGCGGTGTGCAGACGTATGTAATAAACAGCGCAAGGGTTTTGTTTCTGAACGAGCGGCCGCAGCCTAAGGCCGGTAAGGCCGTCTCTCACGTCTGTCAGATCTGTGGGAGGAGCCTCTTGGACACTTTCAGATTCTGTTCCTTGGGGTGCAAGGTTAGTAAGTCAATAGTGATGAATAATGATCATCACAAACAATATATAGAAATTATTATTTATTTTTTTAAAATATTTGTCTTGTTTCATTTTATCATCTTATCATTTTCGTTTTTAATTATATAGAAATTATTCATTTTTTAAATGTCGTAATTAATTTTTTTTACTCTGAACTTGAAATTTGGAAATTAACAATATATTTTTTTTGGCAAACTTAACTATACATTTTTTTTTTAACTTAACACATAATTTGTAGGGTAAATTAGACTATGTTCATTGGTACAAAATATTTATAAATTAAATTATAAATGAATTATTAATCCTTCCCAATATTTTCAAATTTTCTTTTACAGAATGACCAGTTTACTTTCAGTTATTTACTTTTCTCCAGTTTATTTCAGTTATTTAGTTTTCTCTTTTACTGCTTGTGTTTTCTTGACTCACATCATTTCACCTATTAACTTTTCTCTCTTTCTTACAAATGGTGTTTATATGTATTTCACATTCTTTGTTTGTGTTCACTAATTTATATAAGTTACTCACATTCCTAAAACATACATTTTTTTTTTTTTTCTATTGCCTTCTATACTGTATTGTAAAAATCACATAATTGGTGCGGTATTTTGTAAAAAGAAGGTTATATGGTTAAATGCAAATTTCCTGAAGATTTTGTAACCCTTTAAAATATTCCCAATTTTCTCTCTTTATTAATTCTATTACACACAATTCTATGTGTTCTATATATTTATCTTCATATTCTTAATTTTTTTTTTTAAAAAAAATATTTGAGATATATAGATGATTTATCATTTTGAAAATGCACATGATCATACATAACTTACATACATAAATGTGACCCACATTCATAAAACACACAATTTTTTTTATTTTAACCCACATCACCATCACTAGGAGTTGTAACCAAAAACCCATTAACAATGACCGATGATCAACTTGTTCCTAATGGTAGTATACACCCCACCATGGAATTTCCCTTATCATCATCAAAATGTATTAGCCACCAATCATAGAAAAATAATAATAATAAAATACATCCTTTTTATGACATAACCAACTAAAAATGCCCATCATTATCATCTTTTTTGTTAAATGTTAACGTGTGTTTCATTATCATAGTTGTCATTATGTATATTCTTTTTCTTTTTACTCAATAATTTAATATTTATGGTTGGAAAAAAAAAAAAAAAAAATGCAGCTTGTAGGAATAAAGGGGAATGGGGACGCTAGCTTTACCTTAGATTCCAAGGATCATGAGGTTGTAAGAATAAGGCAAAGGGATGAAGGGGTATCGAGTTCGAGTTCGAGACCGAACAATTTTTTTTCGGTTTCGTCGAGAGAGGAAGTCGACGAGAGCTCGCACCACGACATTTGCCCGCCCACACCGCCTAATCCTAATGCAAGGAGAAGAAAAGGCATTCCTCAAAGGGCACCTTTTAGGTCCTAATAGTTATAATAATATTTCCAACTTTAGTACTTTCCATAAATTAATTCAATTAGTTAATTAGCCTTGATTTATTATATAAGAGCATCTCCAAGAGACTTTTTATTTTAGACTTCTTATTTGGAGAAATAAGGAGTCATCCTATATCTATTTGCTTCCTATTTTCTGTTGTTCTCCAAGAGTCTCCCTATTTTATAATTTGAATATGAACCA